TAAATAAGTGAGAAATACTTTTTCTCTTCCAAGATTTAGATCATATGATCACATATTTATAAAAATATTTTTTCTCATCCAACAGGCAATGAGCATTTATACATATGATCTAAATCTTGGATGAGAAAAAGTATTTGTACTTGTTGCATTGTGGAGGTAATTAGTTCCTTATATTTCTTCGCTATAAGTTTCTCTGTGGTAACAAGAATAACGATAAAAGAGAATGTTTTATGTTAAGCATGAAAATCTCAAGAGATTATTTACATGTAAATAAAATACTCGTCAAAGTGTACGTAAGTTCGATCAAGAAGATCAACTTACATTATTAAAGAAGGCTAATTATGAGGATTAGTCGTTGAATTATTGATGGAATGACTTATAATCCAAGAGGTGATGAATTCATGGTGGATTTCCACTTGTGTGGTCAAACGAAGCCATGGAAAGAATCACAACGTAGTACACTAATTGGTTATTCCTATGATGTCTGTACTGGTGAGTTTGAGCTACAACTCTTAATGAATTTATAACGCTATGAGACGGGTGGTCCTATTGAGATGTACCTAATGAATTCACCGCTTAACACTTAAGCATAAATTGCTCTTAATGATTTATACCCAATTTGGGTAGTCTACTTTGAGGTAGACCTAAAGAAATCACTGACTTGAGTGAAAAGGGTTAACCGCCTTTTTATGAAAGATAATGGGGTGCAGTCACTTCGTGAAAATCCATCAAACAATCCTGCATAACTAGATCAACTATGGAAACTGAATTTATAGCACTTGATTTAGCAAGCCAAGAAGCTGAGTGGTTAAGAAATCTATTAGTAAACGTGCAGTTGTGGGGGTATCCCACACCTTTAATGCATATACATTGTGATTTACAAACTGTCATTTGCATTACAAAGAATAGTGTCTATAATAGAAAGAGAAAACACATAAGGGTCAGACATGAGTCTGAACAGCAGTTGATGGCTACTGGATTAATCAAAATAGAGTTTGAGAGGAATGCTGCAGATCCTCTCACAAAAGGTCTAAATCGAAAGATCATCCTTAAAATATCAAGGGAGATGGGGTTAAGACTAGTGAGGTAAGAAATTCTGTGTGGTCAAACGAAATCATGAAAAGACTTACACCAGATTTATGTCTTTAACCACTTTGTAGCCTTTAAAGATGGTCTATATAGAGATAGACTTGACAGAGTTAAAAGTCTATATTGAGATAGACTTGACAGACATAAAAGTCTATAATGCGATAAGACTTGTCAAAGTTAAAAGTCTATGTTGAGATAAACTTTGATAGGGTAGAGGTCAGGTCTATATTGAGATAGACATAACAAACTTGAATACTAAGGGTATTCATAAGAAGTCAAAGAGTTTGACTTTCGTAGAACCTGCATTTTAGAGTTGGTGTGTGCATTAGAGTTCAAAATTTTTATCCGTAGAATTCAAAATTTATCTGGGGAGTTCAAGATTCATATCACTCTCGGGAAGAAAATTACTCAGTGTCACTATGTGTCAGTTCAAGTTCTCAAACACTGAGATTAAGATCAACTCATTTGTATTGCTTAGACATTATTTTTTTCTAGTCTTCTTTAAGAATGTGTGGGGGGATTGTTGGGAAATCATTCTATAAAGAAAAGATTGTCCACAATAATTCTTGGTCATGAATTGTTAGGGAGGTTGTTGATAAACTCCCACCTTTTTCTCTATTTTAATATTTGTGGCTTCCTACTAATTAGTTTAGTTGTGGCTAATATGTAGAGGTTAGTTGGAGCCATCTAGTATATAAACCCCATTACATTTCATTGAGGACACACCGGAAACTTTCTTCCTCTCTTTTGTCTCCTTCCCTAAGTCTGAGCAATAATCAGGTTCGTGTACGTTTAAGCTAGTGCGAGCTTAGCGTGGTTATTTTGTGTTGCATGTTGAAAGCGTATGGGTTTATCTTGACTGTACTATCATCGGGCAAATAACGTTTTAAGACAGCGTTATATAACACACAGCACAGACTCCCTTACACCCTTATTTGTTCTTGTTTCCTAAAAGGTTGTCACCCTGCGTTGACGTTGCATCTATTTTCTAACAGAAGGCAGCCCCATTCATGAGAGTACAGTCAGTCTCCGACTCCCGTGGTTGAGGCTTTGACTCCCACGATCAAGACCAGACACGGGGATGATTGGTAAGGCAATATAGTATCTTTACATGGAAGGAGAATATATGCATCATGTATGTAGCTGAAGGTTTCAAAATTGTGACAATTAACATGAGAGGTGCATGCATTTCAACACGTGGAAATTAAATATGGAAGGGCGATGGATTCCTTTACACAACCAGGCTTGGTTTCCGTTTAATTTGCGTGCATTTCTTGGCATTACTAAATTCTGGGATTGTATAGACAAGCACACGTGGTTGAATTTGCCTGGTTTCCGTTTAATTTGCTTGCATTTCTTTGCATTACTAAATTTTGGGATTGTATAGACAAGCACACGTGGTTGAAATTGGCAAACATGGGAAGAAGAGACACATTTACTGGCAATGTAATTTATCGAGTGAATTCATTTTTTGGTCCTACTGTTATAGGGGCGTTTCCAATTTCAGTCCACTTAAATTTTTTTGTCACTTTACAACCACTGTTATTGAATGTGTTTCACTTTTAATCCACCGTTAATATTTCTGTCAAGAGGCCGTATAATCAAAGGGTATTTTGGTCTTTTTATGTTTGTCTCTTCTCTTTTAATCCAGGCGCTTCGTCCTCCTCCTCCGATATTCGAATATGGCTCTTCGAACAACGAGAATGGGAAGCCAAAGCTACATCATTTCGTTCGTTTCAACATGGGCTGGCGAGGTTTCTTAGCTTTTAGGTTTAATGTTCTCATTTCTTTAGTCAAACATAGTCTTGGATGAGAAGAAAGGTCAAAATACCCATAGATTACACGGCCTCTTGATGGAAATACTAACGGTGGGACTAAAAGTGGAACACATTCAATAATAGTGGTTATAAAGTGACAAAAAAAATTAAGGTGGACTAAAATTGGAAACGCCCCTATAACAGTAGGACCAAAAATGGAATTCACTCTAATTTATCATTTAAAGAGATACATGCACATGAAAATTTCTTTGGTCTACACATGTATGTGGCAACTACTGGGCACGCCGATAGATTGCCAGAATCACTTGCAAGCCAAGATTCGAGGGGATCGACCAGCCCATGTCTCGGAGTGATGAAGAGAGCACGAAGAAGCATTGTGTTGAGAAATCAGTGGCTGACAGCGACCGAGCAGTAATAACGATGGCAGTCTAGCTCCCATGCTAGGCGGCAAAGATTTTGTCCTAGACGACTGAGGGACTGGAAAATACAGCCTTAAAGTGAGAAACTTGGCTAGTCTTCCATTTTCAACATCTTTCGGTGGTCAACAATTATTTTATCACTCCTGGTGGCACGCTGTCATCATCACTGGTAGGAGGTCGAGCTCAATAGTCAACAAGAAGGAAGAATAATTGGTACTTCTTGTGTCATGCTTCGCGAGACACAAGAAAGTGAGGGGCTGGTGATGGATACCCAGTATGGACACCATTCGGATTTAGTACTGGGCGCTCAGCACTCCAATCATGACCAGCTACTCCTGGCAAGCAGTCATCTTGGTAATCAGCCATCCTTGGCGGTGGAAGAAGGAATTATATGGCAATCTCAAGACTAGCATGGGTACCCAATCGACACTACTAGGTAGTCAGTCGGACCTAGCACTCGGATTATGACCAGTCAGTCTTAGCAAGCAGTCATCCTTGCCGGTGGAAGAGAGAATTATATGGCAATCCTGAAATTAGGCAAGTCAACTCACATAAATTACCTTCCTAAATATTGTTTTACACCTTATATCATTTCCAATTACCCAAATATCTTTATATTTCCTTAAACCTCTTTATATTTCATAAATTCCTCTACTTCCCATTAATTATTTCACTTTATAAAAAATATCCAATTACCATAAACATAACACATTACCATATGTCTTGTATTTCTTCTATTATAAATACATAGAGCTCAATCATTGGACATGTCTTTATCCATCTACATCTCCCTACATCTACATCTCTCTATACAACACAATTTGTACTTGTACTGGCTACATACAAAATAAAGTGAAATTTTAACTTGGGACCATCCAAAAAATCCATAATTTTTACCTTTCGATTTCCACGTTAAAAATAGTCGACTTCATTATTCTTTCACATATCCTTTTCTTTTATTTAGTATTTTATGGTTATGTTGGCACACCATCCAATTACCCCATAGCCGTAAAACCAACAAATTAACAAGTGGGGAAGAAATTGTAATTCGGTAAAAAAAGAATAAGTTGAAAATAAAATAAAAATTCAAATTACATTGTTTGGTAGGGAAGAATAGAATTATTGAAAATGAAAAGGAAAAAAGTGGTATAAAACTAAAATGTTCTTGTGTAATAATAATGCTAATAATAATCAAGGATAAAAAAATTATTTTCATCCCTTTTTCTTTTCCTTACCCCATTGAATTGCAATTCAACAAAATGAGAAATTACAAATTGATAAAATTACAATTTCTTCCAACCAAACAATGCAATTCAGATGGCCACAAAAATAGGTTGCAATTGAATTGCAACTATAATCTAACCAAACAACCCTAACTTGGCAAAGAGCAAGGACATTGTTGTTAAATCTCTAAATAAAAAATAAAAAATTACGTAATGCAAAACGTTAAAAGGAAGAAATATTACCACAAATAATTGACTTTTAAAGGCAAAATGCAAAATACTCGCATTCTTAAATGTATAAGTTTTGTGTAAAACCATGTTCCGTGAAACATATACTCGTAATACTTTTAACTAAAATTTAATATTTTTATGAATCTACTTTTTAACTAAAATTTAATATTTTTCTAGACTTATAAAAAGTATCACATTTTAACTAAAAAGTATTATACGTGTAAGATAATTTTACACAAGACTCACTCTTATGTTGGGCATATCAACTACATTTTCCTCTTTAGGGACATACGGTATGGAAAATAACATCAAATTAGAGCATTTTTGCACTTCTAGCTGCATCTAACGATAAATAACCACAATTTCCATGGAGAGTTCAATATCCTGAGAACAAGTTAGATGATATGAAGAAAAGAACATTTAAAACTAGGAATAATTAGAACATGCCACAAAGAACTGCATACCTTACAGTGCAAATGAACTTGAACAACTAAACTCTTCCATTTCGTTTAAGCAGAAGCACCCTGCATTAACAGTAGAGCATTTAGAATTTGAAAATGGAAGATGTTTCAATGGAAAAACAAGAACCATGTGGATCAACAACTTCTTTCTAGCCATCACTATAATTCAAGGTAACAAAATTGAACTGAATTTAGTACAGTAGAAAAAGAAATTACTTTGTTGTTGCGTACACTATCTTGTTTTAGCTATTTTCCACAATGATTTATTAAATTCATGCTTAATAATTCAATCCTTAACAGCTCTCAAGTCACATGGCTCTCCCAATTTCTATAGAACTTCTGCAAAGTACAGAAATTTGATTTAAGTCCTCTCAACTCCTACACTTTAGTTTCACAGCAAGGAGGAAGTCATAGAGGCTATTTGGTACAGAGGGAGAAATAGGGATACATACACAGAAGAAATCGACATAGTGAGACAAGTGAGTTACTGAGTGAGCTCTATTAGGACTCTGTATTCTAGGCACACTAGAATTCCTTCTCCCTCTCCCTGTATTATTGAGAATATATCATTTACCATTCCTACGACTCCTTGTATCCTTATAAATACATATCGTCCTGTACTTTAAATACAATAGATTGGTCAATAATAAGATCATTCCCAGAACTATTGTTCTCATCAGCTCCTCTTATTTTTGTTTTAATAATAATTTTACATTACTTTTTTGTTTTTATTTCCATTCCTGTTATGATTCTAAGCAGATATTACACTTTCACTAAAACTCATTCTGATACAGATTTCTGCTGTTACCCAATTTAAATGTTGATATAGGAATGTTCAGAGGGAATACCACATAGAATTGATGGAAGCATAAAATAGTACTAGTATTTGTCCCGTGCGATGCACGGTATAAAATTTAAGTATTTTTATTGTTGATAAAATTCAAACATCAATCATTAAAATTAAGAGAAAATTTCAATTTTGGTCACACGACTATAGGGGCCTTGTTAATTTTAGCACCTAACTTTCAAAAGTATCAATTTAGTACCTTGAGTATGTAATTTTTTTCAATTTTGGTCACTCCGGCCAATTTACCGGTCAAATTTGACCGGAAAAATTAAATCCAACTTTTAGGCACAAATCTGAGGGATAAAATAGTCTTTTCCTGATCTGCTCCTAATTGACCGGACCGCCTTTTTGATCCGGTTCACCTAGCCAATCTTCGCCAACCGTCCGGCGGAGATGATGAAGCAGGTGTGACTCCTATGACAGACAGGACAGCAACAAAGTTAAACCCAGGATGTTCATACAGCTACAAATTCTTCAAGAATTACATATTAAAGAACCAAAATTGAGAAATTACCATTGAGGAAACTCTCAGGAGCCTTGGTGGAGAACACATGACACCGCCCAATTTCACGCCGGCAACACAGCAGTTTCCGAGCTCTAAACCCTCCTCCTCCTTTGTTAACGTTTCGGAGCATAAATTTCTTGGCAGAGTGCTTGTCAATGGAGGAATTGGAGGAACAGCCGCAAGCCACGGAGTTCAACCTCATCCTCCCAAACTCAAGATTATGGTAGGCAGCAGACATCATCCTCGGAGGAGTGTTCCTTAAAAGCTCACACCAGGCTTTGTCTCCCGCCCGGAATATCAAGAACCCACACCGGAAACTTTATTGGGTTTCAAAATCTCTGGGAACCCATCACAAAAGAGGAAAACTGCAAGTTCCAACTCGGGGACGACGGTAGCTACCCAATTTGAACGTTCTTCAAAGGAACAAGAGTTGGAGAAGAAGAAGAGAACTACTGTACAATTCAATGAAAGTCAAGCATTCTAGTGGATGAAAATGAACCACATATATATGAATCCTTCGATATTGATTTTTACTTTTCTTTTTGCTTTTATGGTTAGATTTGTGGTCATCGTGTAGTCGAAAACATGGCATTAGGAGATACATTAGTTCCGGTTGTACAGCCGGACTTTTTGCTGGTTCTGACGCGGGACGCCGCTGTTCCGCCGCCAGGTGAAACGGGCCAAGGAGCTGAGGAAGTCGTGTAGGTGAACCGGATCAAAGAAGGCGGTCCGGTCAATTAGGAGCAGATCAGGAAAAGACTATTTTGCCCCTCAGATTTGTGCCTAAAAGTTGGATTTAATTTTTCCGGTCAAATTTGACCGGTAAATTGGTCAGAGTGACCAAAATTGAGAAAAATTACATACTCAAGGTACTAAATTGATACTTTTGAAAGTTAGGTGCTGAAATTAACAAGGCCCCTATAGTCGTGTGACCAAAATTGAAATTTTCTCTTAAAATTAATTATGAAATGTTACTTTTTTTTAAATACTAATTTGGTTGTTATATTAAAACATCACAACATACTATTAGCATATATTATAAAGCATTGTGTTATTAGATATCACATAATATTTTAAAATTTTACGTTTAAATAAATAAATAAATAAATAAATAAATATATATATATATATATATATATATATATATATATATATATATATATATATATATATATATATATATATATATATATATATAAACATAATTTAAAATTAATAAATTAAACTATATACAGTAAATAAATGATTCTTTATTTTTTCCCAAGACATTTAAAACTCATTGTGATTAATAATTCAGCAACAATTAATCTAGCAATTAAGATTATACCATGGAATGATGCCATTTCATTTAGGCGGGAAAATGACATGGCAAAAATATTTTGTTATTATATAGAGTAAGATAAGATAAGATAAGATTAGATAAGATTATTATTTTTAAGTATTATAAAATATTCATTAAAATATAAATACGACACAAATACTAATATTAAAAATAATGAAATATTGAAATAATAATAATATAAGATAATACGCATAATATATATTATTAATTAATTAATGCATGCTGTGATTTGCAGAAAAGGTGGAGGCAAAAAAGCTTCCACTTTATTATTTTTTTCACTCCACCTTCTCGGCATTCTCACTCACCAGTCACCACCCACCTTTCTCGCCCTCTTTGCTCTGCACCAAATTTGGTCAAGTAAATGGAGAAGAAGAAGATCGACTAATCGAGGAAGGGGACTTATCTATGGTTTCCGATCCGATGCTGGTGGCGGAGCTGGAATCTACGGCGATGATGGCGAGCGGTGGTGCATATATGCCGGCGATCTGATTTCTCTTTTCTAATTTTTTTCTTTAATCTGCTTTGAGGCCGTGACGATTTCTTCTCCCATCCCACTGCATGCACGAAGCAGCGATGGAGCTCCTCCGACGGTGATCTTCGGTTTTTCCGGGGACCAAACTATTGAAGTGGCGAAGAGGTGATCTGGATTTGTTGAATTTATCGTGTCTGAACAACTCATTTGACACATAGTATTATGTTGCCTGCCTGTCTAAACAACTCATTTAATATCTAAACGGTTAAGAATGTCTGATTGTCTATGAATCTTGGGTTTTTTTCTAATCGCATGTGTGATTTAAACTACATTTTCCTCATATCTTCAAAATAGATAGATGCATGTTTGATATATCATCAGATCTGAGATTTTAAATTAGTATTAGCTTCTCCATTCCATGATTTTTAACTTTGATTGTAGTTCATAGTTGTTCACCGAGAAATTTGTGCGATCCCCAGTTGGCTTTCATTTTTATTTTTTTTGTTTTTACTCCTATATATTGATACATACATCTCCGAATTTCTAAAATGATTTTTGAACTGCATCTCTGGCTTAGAGGTGGAAGAAGGAACAGATTCATCCACAATTTCCTTCTGACCTTTTCCTACAGATTTCTTCTCAGAAACTGCAACCCCAACTTTATTGTTATCACATTTCTCAGCTCTCCGCACATACCACTCTTTGTTATCAAACTTGGGGCCATTAAGCACTTCCACCTACCAAGCAGCATCATTAAAGTTTAAGAATCCAAACCCCTCTAATTTTCTGTCACCATCTTTCACAAATCAGCGCTCACTACTGTTCCAAAATGACAAAAAACTTCCATAAGATCCTTTTCGGTTGTATATATAGATAAGTTTTCCACAAAGACATTAGTGAAGTTAGTCATTTGCATATATAGCCTTGGGATGACTGGTGTATATTATTGCTGTCATATATGTTCTTACATGTTATTCGAATACAGTGTAAAAGTTGGATATCATCTTCTCTCGAATTTTTGTAGAAATATTACTGACACTTCAATTTATTTCCTATAATTGTAGATGTTGTCAATTACTTCATATCTTGTTGACAGATTGCTCCCAACGGCTATTTTTATTTTGTTGACAGATTGCTCTCAATGATAAAAGTCTTTTAGAAATTTGTTGTGGAAGTAATTTATTTATTTAAGGCCTATGAGTGGATGATGAACATCTCATGAAATACCATTTAACTATAATAGACAACTTTTTACCTTATTTACAATCTAATATGCTAAATGCTAATTGGACTTAAAACTGCATTCACTTTTAGTTTACTTACTGTATACACAGGATCTAATGGATAAAAATACTATCTATTGGGAGTATACACAGGACTTGAAAAGCTTAGGTGACACATGTCATACTGTCAAGTAAGTATTGCTTGACTTTCATGATATAAATCTCTTTCTTGTGTATGCGTCAATTGTTTATTAGTTGAATTTACCATAAACCATATAGTTTTTCACGGGCATTGCGCGATTGGAGTTTAGTGCAGTACGGTACATATAATGAACCTCAAATGTTTGGTTATTTTGCAAAAAAATGTTTCAGCATGGTCAAAATTTCATTTGATATATTATACATCGTTGTATCTAAATCCCATTATTCTATCCTCAACTTGTCTCCAGCTGGAGTTTATGAAAATTTCCATTCTCTCCAACCTTACGATAATTATAGTATTTAATTGGTTTTTTCTTGGTTCATTAATACTATGCAAGAGTTGAAGCGGAAGGAAGATGCTGCTGCAAGAGGTTCTCTATTCTTTTCCCCTTTGTGCTCCTTTTATTGCTAATATCGGTTAGATATAAATAAATTTCAGTATTTCCTTTTTTAATTTCCTCAACTTCATTATTTCAATTTTCTTGTTGCCATTTTTCTTCACATGTATTTTCTATTTATATAACATGCCTTCAGGATTGTAATGTAAGATAATAAAGCATTAATCTGGGTCTCTTATTTATTTGCTTAATGACTTACAAATCGAAACATCCTTGTTGCTTTGCAGCTGGTATTGTTCTTGAGGCAAGGAATTGGCCACTGGTCTTCCCAATAATCCATCATGATACTGCGAATGAAATACCAATTCATCTGCAGAGGCTGCAATACTTGCTTTTACAACCTTCATAGGTATGCCATATTTTATTGTACTACCTGGGAGTTATAGTAATGAGGATCTACTTCCTTTGTTTGTTTGTCTGTTTTTCCCTTTAATGCTATGCATTGTCACAGAGATTTTTCCTGCTGGATTAAAGATTTTTGTGCTATTTGCATTGCTCCTTTGATCTGCTTTTTTTTAATCTTATTTATTATTTATTTTTGTACATGCGCTAAGAATATGTTGGTTGTCAGCAGGGCAGGTTGCCTGTCTCATATGGAATATAATTGCTGTCACTACTGCATGGATTAAAAATGGAGGTTTGTTAATGTTGATTATATCTCAGTGTTTTCATCTGCACCTCATCTTGCATTTGACCAAATGAATTGTTAATACACTTCATTTTTTTTTGGTAAATCTATCAGCTTTAATGAATTGTTACATGTGCCAGTTGGGCATATGGCCAATTCCATTTTTATTTTTTATTTTAAATTTTAAATCTTGCAGATAGAATTGCCTTGACCATACTAACTTGTGCCCATTCCTTTATCTTCCCCGATGTCATAAGCTTTTCTTTCTTACCAAAACAAAATAAAGGCATAAAAATTTTGAACTTTGATTTCTAATTTGCATGACAGTCAATACTATTATTTATATGTGGATGCCTTCCACTTTCAGATCTCTTCTAGATATTAGTTTTTATAATCTAACATGTAGAATTCCAGTTTATATGAACATAACCCTTCCAATATCTGTGTTACTCAGTTATATTCCATCTTTTCTTTCCCAGTTTAATTTGCTCACATTTACATCAACACCAAGCACCAAGAAAAAAAAAACCCTTCCAATATCTGTGTTACTCAGTTATATTCCATCTTTTCTTTCCCAGTTTAATTTGCTCACATTTACATCAACACCAAGCACCAAGAAAAAAAAACAATTTCTGCTCTAGAAAAAGTGAAAGAGGATGCAAAGCTTTACCAAATCTGCAGCCCAACTTTTGCAGCAACTACTGCTGGTCAGACCTTCTTTGTTTACTTTGCAGGTACTATACTTGTTATTGTTTTGTCACTTTGATGAACTGCAACTCTTCATGTGCTTTTAGTCTTTCATGTACTTGTGAAACTCTTCATTTAAACCTTAATTTCAGCCAGACTGCATCCAGCACCCTGCACAATCTTCAGAAATAGCAAAGAAAGTAAAAACGCATACAATCAAGTGTATACCTTTCCGATCTATGTATATGCTTCTCCTCCACTGATAGTTCCATTGGCTTCCACGTGATCCGGCAATAAAATTTAACAAATCCTTCACTCTTTACAAATCTACCACTTTCTCAAGCTTGACAATATGCATAAAACAATAGAACGTATAGTATTTATTCATAGAACTTACCTTCTGGTCAAGAAAAACGACCTCTGATTTGTGATGAAGCTTTTTTGTCAGCAGACATTGCGTTCCTTTGTTGATTGGAGAAAATTTGGCTGCCAAGAATGAACATTGTTCTTCAATATTGGAAGAGCTTTAATCTTGACAGAGTTTGTATTGAATATTGAGACTCCTTAGTGTTTGTTTTGATTAGGTTTGTGATGTATATATAGGACTTTAGTTATGATTGCTGACCTTTCGTTTACTCACTAATTAGGCGGCCTAATTAATAGCTTAGCATTATTATTTCCATAAAGATTTTATGGGAAAACGAAGAGACCAACCGATTTAAAATTAGAATTTGATTGTGATTGGTTGAAATTGATTCTGTACCCAAAAAATAAAGGAAACAAATATATTTTTTTGAAATCCCTTGGAAAGCCAATCGTTTTTCACGGCATTCTACGCAAAACACATCAATATTCCGTCTTTCTCTAAACGACGCCGTTGCATTTGGGCGGGAATTTTTTACTCCTATTGGTTTGCTTTAATATATATATAGAGACTACTCCTCAACATGAATTCAAGATCAATTTTGCTCCCAAAATCAGAAAATAAATAAAGCGGGGGGATGCACAACTCATTCAACTATCCAAGGAAGTTAGGCAATGAAAACAGCTATAAATACAAAATAAATAATATGAACAATTTCTATATGCAGCCAAGGCATGGAAAAATCATAAGATATTTCTATTTCTATGAAGACTATATGAAACATTATTTGGCTTCCAAGGTCTTCTTTAGACCATCTAAAGACATACAATTGACACAATGTCATCAAATTTTACTTGTCTAGAATACCTAGTAAAGTTGATATATGGCAGAAGTCCATTTCCTCATCATCAAGGTAGAGATGAAACTAAAGCAATCTCACCAGTATCAATGTATCATCACTTTCACGGCTCTAGCTATGCTATTTTGCTAGGTTGTTATTGTGTTTTGTAAAATTTGCAATCTAAGGAAACCAATTTGTGTTTTTTTATATGTACCACAAAAACGGAAAACAAGAAATGGGAAAAAGATAAACAAGGGGTAAACGTGTAAATAATTTTTTTTTTAAAAAAAAAGAAGAAGTAAATTTCACTAAAGGTCCTCCGAGTTTGAGGCATTACCAGCTTTAGTCCTCACTCCTCAACTAAGAAGCCTACCACAATAAGTCCTCAAACTTCTCTAAAGCTACCAATAATAGTCCTCCAAGTTTGAGATTCTACCACCTTTGGTCCTCAACTTACAAGCCTACCACAAGTCCATAATAAGTCCTTCAACTTCTCTAAAGCTACCACAAATAGTCCTCTATTTTTTTATTTTTTGGTAAATGAGTCCTAAAAATTGTACTATAATTAGAAACACACTTATTGTATCTAAATGTGCATATTCAGTATTTTGGATTATATAGCTATTACTTTGAAAGATTGAATATAATATCCAATACAATAAAATGTATTTATATATTTCAATCACGAATAATTTCTATTTTTTTTTCTTAATTTATGTTGTGTCATTTAAAAACAAATGTTAGAATTTACCAATTGATTTTCACAGTAATGAAACTGCCCAATTGTAAACCCTAAACATTAACATCATAATTTTGAATACTCATTTTTTTTTACTGTACTTGGTAAAAAATATGGTAGATAGAATAGTTTAACTCTACTAAATCTTCATAATTATGAAAATAAAAAAATGTGTAAAAAATTTCGCTAATTGTTGATATAAACTATATATCTACTGGAAAAACCAAAAGAAGAAAAAAGGAAAATATACGTACATTTTCTAGAATCCGTGATTTTGTTGACAGACAAAAAAATTAACTTTCCCCATAGTGCAGACCATTTCACACAACAGCTATGCAGACCATTTCACAAAACAGTTCTCTCAATCTCCCTGTAAATTTTGATTTTAAGGTTATCCTTATATTGAGTGGAAAGAAAAGTGGATATTACTACTTTGCCCTCCAATTTCACTGTACCCCTTATATTGTGATAGGCTTTAAGTTGAGGACCAAAGCTGGTAATGCCTCAAACTCGGAGGATCTTTAGTGAAATTTACTCTAAAAAAATAAAGGTACATTTGCAAATATTGTTCCGTATTCATGCATAAATATTAATTATCTACTATTAGATTCATGATTAAAAGTATTACACTAATAAATAAAAGTAATGCACCAAATTACCAATAAATATTAAATATCTACTACAACAAAGTCAATTTAAAATAAAAACACAATGTCCAAAATCTAAAATATTCTTAATCTTTAGATTATAGTAGCCCATTAGTGTCAACTTAGTTGCAGACAAATAAGTGAAACAATGATTTGAATTTCTATTTCATATTTTTAGAATTTTTACATTCAAGCAAATTTTCACCAAAGAAAACAAAACAGAATTAAAAAAAAAAAAAAAAATCCTTAAAGAAATGTTCTTGTGTCGTCAAATTCATCTTCCGTCAAATATCAAAGAAGACCAAAGCAAATCGAAGCAATGACTTGGGAAATGGCAATGGCAAAAATGCAAAGTAAAGAAAAAATCTTTTAGGTTTTAATTTCATTTGTTATATATTGAAATTTTGACCCATGATTTAAAAAAAAAAAAAAAAAAAAAAAAAAAAAAAGGGCTGGAAATTTTTTTTATTAATTTGGGCTGGGTTGACCTGGGAAACAAGTTTATGAAATTTTGATTAATTAGGAAACATCCTAAAAAAAATTTGGAAACTTTTGGCTAATTAGGAAACGGGGCAAAAACGTTGACTGACGAGTTTTAGTGAGTTTCAAAGACAAAATGTATCTAAAATAGGAAAACACTACCTTCTCGAAGTTTCCATGCAACATGAGTGCTTTCAGGTGGTTTGATTTGCTCATGTCTTATTATAGATTAACTAGCAGTAGCAAAATGAACTATAATTGTGAAAATTAAATTTACATAATTAAAAGTCGGAGGGAGAAGATAAAACCAGTCTGATTCAAGGTGATTTTACTTTTACTAAAGCCTGCTAAAGTGACTTGACTATTGAAAATTACTTGAATGATTATCAAGTATGGGTCACATCTGATCCTATCTAGATGAAAAATAATCTGGCAAACTATGGATTGCAACTTGCAAAAGGGGGGTGGGTGATGCAAGAAATATTAGGGAGAAAATACAATAAGGTTCATGCAGTATTGTATCATGTTGTTCAAGATGGTAGTGCTCATAAACAATAATCTGTGTCAAACTTGGAGTTTTCATATTATATTCCAGTTTGTTAATGAGTTCATGACGCTGCTCTCTCCCTCCCAGAAAGAGCCCATCCAATGGACAATACACTAACACAGCCACAGCAGGTTGTCAGGCCACAATTCCACAGGACTCCCAAATTCACAACCCAGGCACCCACAAACCACCAAAGATTCATCCCAAGGTCAAACCCACTTCACCTCCCCCAAACAACCCATGTGAGACTGATTTGAAAACTATGGATTCACAATTTCACACCTCCAGAACTGCTCCTATTGCTAGACTATTCCCACTTACAGATCACCATCGGTATCCCATATCTACCTCAAATTTGAGACATGTGACCTGAATGGTGTATGGAGTGCTGCCCTGTTATAACATGCCACAAAAACCTCAAATAAACCTAGGAAAAATGGAACAGAAATTTACAGCACATTTGTGTACTGATGGAGATGGCCATCTCTGTGAGGTTGATTGATTGACACCAGTAAATAACTGGGGCAAGCATTTGGGATTTCATAGTGGCAGTAGCAGCAAGAGGTGAGGACAGAAGGTTTCTCAATGAAGTTCAGGAAAAAACAATTCCACTTATATGAAGTAAGATTTGGAGAGATGGATTCTCTTCTGGGTATTTGGATTTGTGAGGGTGGGATGGTGGTGTGCTAGGTATGGCCTTATGGATACTTGTTCAATTGTATCCTTCAATTTATATGGGTCCTGCCAGGTCATCTGATTAGGCTTGGCAAATTATGCTGTGCATCCGTATGCACCAAGCATGGTGCATACGGATGCAAAAACGACGTCGTTTTATAAAAACGCGAGTCTCCCCTTAAAAAAAAAAATTAGGTTCGAAACTATAATTCCATAATCGATGAACTAAAAAAAAAATTAGGTTCGAAACTATAATTCCATAATCGATGAACTATAATTCCATAATCGATGAACTATAATTCCATAATTGATGAACTATAATTCCATAATCTAATCTATGAACTAAAATTTTCAGAATGAATGAACTAAAATTCCAGAATCTATGAACTAAAATTTCAGAATCGATGAACTATAATTCCAGAATCAATGAACTATAGTTCCATAATCGATGAACTATAATTCCATAATCCATGAACTAAAATTTCATAATGAATGAACAAAATAATGTTGTTACTAGGAATCGAACCTGAATTTTTTTTAAAAGGGGAGACGCGCGTTTTTAATAAAACGACGTCGTTTTTGCATCTGTATGCACCATGCATGGTGCATACAGATGCACAGCATAACTATTCATTAGGCTTGCTTTATTTTATATTTGGACAAGTCTGGGTTTAACTAGAATGACAAACCAAATTTTAGGCCATTTAATAATATTTTGGGTTGTTTTCCCTCAATATTCAAATATCTAGACTATAAGCAAAATAACACCTTGGTAGTTGTTTGGTTCAAATATCTCCAAATGCAGGCATTATTTTTTAAAATTGCAAATATTGGGACTATACTCAACCGCACTCTACCATCCTCTTCATTTTAGTACAAGTATTTGGGTTAGGATACAAGACTTAACCCAAACACATTTTGGACTTGAACAAAGGGAGGCTGAGAACGTTGAGATCGATGGAGTGAAAGGATTTACAGTGCCTTCACTGGCAAAATTCAACAAGGCATTATTTTTTTAAAATTGCAATTATTAGGACTATACTCAACCCCACTCTCCCATCCTCTTCATTTTAGCACCAAGTATTTGGGATAGGTCACAAGACTTGACCCAAACACATTTTGGACTTAAACAAAGGGAGGCTGAGAACGTGAGATTATTCAATCCTGAACAATGAGATCAATGGAGTGAAAGAATTTACAGTACCTTCACTAGCAAAATTCAAACCAACAAGCCTTTCATCCTAAAGTTCAGGATAAACCATCTCACTCCCTCCCCTATTTATTCTTATCCAGTTATCCCAAAATTCAAGTCATTCCAGTCTTAGGTGAGGTCCTCCACCACCTAATCACAGGTTGGTTAAATTTACAAGTGTAGGGTTGGGGGCACTGCTGCATTGGATCCCTTAACCCCACAATCCAAACAATACTTTCAAGTTGGTTTGTTCAGAATTCCTCAGTGAAGAGACCGTTAAATCCCTTTCACTACAATACCTTTGGGGTCCTACCCTAATTAGCAGAATGCTATGGTTTTCCTCATCCCTACACTTTTCTTGGAACCAAAGTAGAACTCCTCCCCCACAAAACTCTTACCAATATGAGGATCAACCAATAAAAAAAAAAATGCAATACCAATCATCATGAATTAAGGATCAAACTACCCTTGTTTCTCATTATAGTAGGCTTCAGAAGAAAACCCAGAAGAGAATATTTTAATCACACTGTCAATGCAATGGACCAAAATAATCTGTTAGCACTAAAATTCAGCACTGATAACCATTGAAAGTAAGATTTCCAGCATTTTATTTGTGTCAGATATTCACATCCAAGTAAAGAGTGGGTTTGCTCATATAATGCCATATTGGACCTCTTTCAACAGTAGCCCAATCTGAGCTTACAACTTGCACCAGGAACATTGCTTACTACATTTTATTCAAACAATTTTTGCCTACCAATTTAGGTCACATATATCCATTGAGGAAAAAAAACAAAAAAACCCACATGAAGCAGCATAGTAAACAACTTAGAATAGATATTCCTAATAAATTCTACAAAAAGATCAATACTGTAGAACTTCAAGTTATTTTCTAATCCCTTCTTTTTAGGTTCTTATTAGCGTATTATTGGCGAAGGTTGTAACCTTTCCCCACTATCCATCCTACAATTGCAAGAAGCAAACAAAATTAAGAAATCAAAATAACAAAAAAAGATTTATCAGACTGAAAAAGATGCAAAGGATATTCCTCAAGGTTTTGCAGTACTCACCAAAATCGAATAATACCCAACAATTTCAGTTAAGGCCAGCTTCTTTGGGGGTTTTAGCGACGATAGAGAGAGCGTGGAGTCCAGATTGGAGCTCATCAGAGAGCAGATCGTAGACCATACGGTGTCGTTTCACAAGGTTCTGGCCATCGAACTTGCCGGAGACGATCTTCACGTTGAAGTGGGTCTCGCCATTAGAGCCGCTCTCCTTCACGGCCGCGTGGCCTGCATGCTGGTAGGAGACGTCTTCCACTTCAACTAGGCTCGCTTCCAGCGTAGACAATAGCCTCGTCTTGATTCGGCTCGCTCTTGATGCCACCGCTCTGGACGCCATTGCAAATTGTCTTCTATGGGCTCGACTCTTCAGTTCTGCCCGCTTTGTGTTATCTGTACAACAAAAGGTTTGATCAGAGGATTGAGTTTTTTCTAGGTTAGTTTTAAAATTGAGCAAACTAGGTTAGTTTTAAAATGAGTTAATACCCAAAATCGTCCTCGACTATAGTGGTTTTTCTCAATTTCGTCATAAACGACTTTGGTGACCTAATATCGTCCTAGACTTTTGTGTTTCGCTCAATTTAGTCCTCCATTTGTTATTCCATCAAATTAGTGTTAAATAAAGGGACAATTCAGTAATGTCAATATTGATCTCTCTTTACTTTCAACTTGTGAAGTGCGAAATTCTTCTTTCTTGTACGAATTACGCCCAGAATTACTCCCGGACCTGCAAATCAAATTTTATATTTCTTGTACGAATTACACCCAGAATTACTCCCGGACCTGCAAATCAAATTTTATATTCGCAGTTTTAGGAGTAATTCGTAAAAAAAAAAGGGATTTCGCAGTTCACATGTCTATGAGTAAATAGATGCCAATATTAAAATTACTGAATTGTCTATTTATTTAATACCAAATGGACACAATAACAAATGAGGGACTAAATTGAGCAAAAACACAAAAGTCTGGGACTAAATTGAGCGAAACACAAAAGTCTGGGACGATATTAGGTCACTAAAGTCGTTTAGGACGAAATTGAGAAAAACCACTATAGCCGAGGACGATTTTGGGTATTAACTCGTTTTAAAATTGAGCAAACTAGTATCTGTCCCGTGCGATGCACGGTAAATAAATTGTAAATATTTAATTTATGCTTGTTATATTATAAATTGTGTGAAACAATGATGTTTTAATTTATAATTTTTAGAGAATCGAAAAGAAAAAGTATAAATTATTTGTATTTGAGAATTGAACAAAAAAAATTGTTAAATTTATTGTCCAATTCTGTGCAATAATTATAATTTAATTTATTTATTATTTTTAGACATGAGAACATAATAATTATGTAAATGTTACACAATAAATACTCAAATACAACTTATGTTATTAATAAAAACGAAGTGTTAGAACATTACTAATTATTCAAAACTTAATATGATATACAACGTAACATTAGTGTTATCTTAGTACTTTTTGAATATGATTTAAATTTTTTTAAAAAAAATCAAACATCATATCTTTTCCATTACAACATTAAATTTTTTTAATACAATATTACAAAATAGGCAAATTAAGACTATTACCATTTTCTGTATCAAAGCATAGCAACATTGCTAATAAAATCACATCTAACACAACAACAACAGTAAGCATCTTGGACCAACTTTCCTTTTCAACTTGAGTACCACCACTCATTGACATCTTTACTCTGTCCCAATCTCTTTGGACAGATGACATATCATCTCTTAGCTGTTGAGCAATACAACTCAAATCTCTTAATGCATTTTGTGTTGCATGTATCATAATCAATTCGGTGGTTGATGTGGTATCAAAAAATATCAAAAATTCACAACCATTTTTCTGTGATATCAAAATACTCATATAAATTAACCACATAACCAAAAGATTTTTATATCAATAATTGTAATCTACCCTTCCATTGTTGACAACCAAAGAATTTCCATCAACTATTACCACCCACGCATAACGGATATTTTAGCCCACATTTACAATACAAAGCAGACTCATATTGCAATTTGAAATTGCGCCTAGTAATGTTGGATGAAGATGAAGAAAACAATCTAGAATTTAACGAAGATACAATTGCAAAATTCACCAACGCCCTTCCCTATTGGAGAGAACGATCGCAATCTTTGTATCTCTTTTCGTAATTTTTCCTAAGCTTTATAAACAAAATTATTAAATTTATATATTAATTTAAATTTTTAAAAATATAAAACTAAAAAATAAAATAGAATAAACTCACTACATTTTATGCCTTGATTTTATGCAAAAAAAAAAAGGATCAAAATAAACATTACTCTCTAAAGTAACAAAAAACGTGAACACCAACTATATTTCAAATTTGATTACAAAATCATATAATAAATGCTATATCATTTAAGCATATCTAACATAGCACCCGATATAATACACAAACGATTTTTATATACCTTTAGATAGTATATAATATATAGTTACCTATCTATTATTATTATTATTATTATTACTATTATTATTATTATTATTATTATTATTAAGTATTATAAAATCTTCATTAAAATATAAATACGACACAAATACTAATATTAAAAATAATGAAATATTGAAATAATAATAATATAAGATAATACGCATAATATATATTATTAATTAATTAATGCATGCTGTGATTTGCAGAAAAGGTGGAGGCAAAAAAGCTTACACTTTCTTATTTTTTTCACTCCACCTTCTCGGCATTCTCACTCACCAGTCACCACCCACCTTTCTCGCCCTCTTTGATCTGCACCAAATTTGGTCAAGTAAATGGAGAAGATGTTGAACAGCCTGATCACAGGAGCAAAAACAAAGGAAGAGAGAGTTGCATTGATGGTGATGGCGATTACAGAGAATGGATGTAGCTGTTGAGCTGAAAACTTACCCTTCTAACCAACAACAACACTACTTATACAAAGCAGTTAAAAACGGTTACAAAAGGAAATAAGGGAAAAGACATAAATGCCCCCTTTGATATAAGAACAAGAAAGTAGCCAGGCAGCTTCATTCTGCTACATTCTTTTGCTTGTTAGGTTGTGTATCTTGCTGCTTCATCACCCCCCGTAAGCTGGAGCATGAAGATCTCGAAGGCCCAACTTAGCATGAAAAGTATCAAACAAAACAATGGATAGAGCCTTTGTAAAACCATCAGCAATCTGTTTACTTGAAGGAATGTGCAGCAGTTTGATTAAGCCTTGATGGACCTTTTGCCTCACAACATGACAGTCTATTTCAATGTGTTTGGTACGTTCATGAAACACATGGTTTTCCCCAATGGCCACAGCAGAATTGTTATCACAAAATAGAGCAATGGGGCTGCTGCATTTCACCTTCAAATCAGCTAGCAAGTATACTAACCATTGAATCTCACAAACAGTAGATGCCAGTGCCATATATTCTGCCTCAGAGGAGGATCTTGAAACTGTTGCCTGTTTCTTAGTTTTCCAAGAAATGAGAGAATCTCCAAGATAAATGCAATAACCTGTTATAGACCTTCTAGACTCTGAACAAGAAGCCCAATCAGAATCTCAAAAACCTTGCAACTTTAGCTGAGAACTAGAAGGATAGAAGAGGCCTTTTCCTGGGGAACTTTTGAGGTACCTGAGTACCCTATGGGCTGCAACTAAATGTGTATCCCTTGGTTTATCCACAAATTGACTCAACTGTTGTATAGCATATGAGATGTCAGGTCTAGTATTAGTCAAGTAGAGAAGCTTACCAACCAATATTCTATAAACTTCAGGATTGACAAGCAATGTGCCATCAGTACTTGTGAGTTTAAGCCCTGTGACACATGGTGTTCTTGCAGGTTTAGCATGTAAAAAACCATTCTCTTGCAGTATCTCCAGTGTGTTCTGGCACAGATACACACCACTGGAATCCCTGAAAGCTTCAAGTCCTAAAAAATAGTTTAAAGGACCAAGATCTTTTATTTTGAAGGAGGCATCTAGCATATGTTTTAAAGCTTGAATTTCCCTTGGATTAGTGCCTGCAACAAGGATATCATCCACATAAACAAGCAGAGTGGTAAATGAGGTGTCTGATGACTTAGTAAACAAGGATGGATCAGCTGAGGACTGCTGGAAACCATCCCTTTGCAAGGCCTGTGTCAGCTTGGCATTCCACTGTCTACTAGCTTGCTTTAGGCCATACAAGGATCTCTTTAGCTTGCAGACCTGATTAGGTTTAGAGCCCTCAAAGCCTGGAGGCAAAACCATGTACACTTCTTCATCTAGATCACCATGCAAGAAAGCATTGTTAATATCCAGCTGTTGAATATCCCAATTTTTTGCCACTGCAACAACTAAGAAAGTTTTGATAGTTGTCATTCTGGCAACTGGGGAGAATGTTTCAACATAATCCACTCCCAATTGCTGAGTATACCCTTTTGCAACCAGCCTAGCTTTGTACCTCTCAATGGAGCCATCTGACTTGAGCTTTACTTTGTACACCCATCTACAGCCAATTGGTGTTTTTCCTGCAGGTAAATCAGTGAGAGTCCAAATATTATTTTGAGTTAGAGCCTCCATTTCTAATTGCATGGCTCTTCTCCATTCTTCTTGTTGAACTGCCTCATGGTAGGATTGTGGTTCATGTATTGAAGTAATAGAAGCCACACAGAATCTGTGACTAGGGGACAAATTGTCATATGAGATAAAGTTTCCTATGGGATGAGGGGAAGACTTTATCATTGACTGACAGTAGTAGTTTTGAAATCTGGGAGGAATGGATTTCAATCTTGAGGACCTTCTAGGCTGTGTTTGTGTCTGTTTATTCTGTTCATCAGAAACCTCAGGGAGAATAACCACTAGATTATCATCATCAATGGCTTCATCACTATATCTGTTATTGGAATCCTCATTATCATATCCAATATGCACATCATTAGACATAGAAGCTTGCACATTATTGGACATAGAAGTTGTGTCTGTTGATGCCTCATAGAACTCACCACCCTTCTCATTCTGCCTTCTGGAACTGTTAGTAACATCTACAGTGTATCTTGAACTATCATGGAGATTAACATCATTCAGCAAGACATCATTAGTTTCTGAGAGGAAAGGAAGTACTGGACTGAAGCCCTCAGATGAAATAGAACTGTCTGTGAGTCCAGAATCCTGATCTTTGAAGGGGAAAATTTGTTCATAGAATCTGACATCTCTTGAAACAAAAATGGCTTTATCCATCAGATCATATAGCATAAAACCTTTTACATTAGCAGGGTAGCCCAAAAAGATGCACTTCCTTGCCCTTGGCTGCATTTTGTTCCTTCCTTGTGGTGTGGTAGCCCCAAAGCACAAACAACCAAAAGACTTCAAATTATTATAGTCCACATCTTTTCCAGTTAGGAGCTTGAATGGGGTATTTCCATCAACAACATCAGTAGGTAA